TATCAGATATGCCCATGCCCACGACGGAGGAACACGCCTCAGGACAGAGCGCGTGTCATCAACCTTACAGTCTCTGAGCACAGGCTCGCAGGAGGGATACATTTTGCACAATCTACTCACAAAACGATCAGACACCGGGCGGACAGCCCAGAGCGAGGCGCGCTCTCTGGGGTTTGAAAGGGGCCGAAGGGAGGGGAGGGGACCTACACGCACAGGCGGCCTCATATGGGAGTCCTCTCGGGGTACCCGCGGCGGCGTCTGCAAGGTATTCCACGGACGCTCTTGTTTTCCAGTGCATCGGGGATCAAGTTCCAGGAGCTAGCATGATTAGACGTAGTTCTTCGTGGTGCGCTTCACTGCCATTCATCATCTTCAACCATTTGTGTACACGTGCATGTTCAGAGTGTGGATCGCCATCCGTGCCATCGTCGCAGCACTGACGGTCCCAAGCGGAAATATCCGAGGTCCTCCGAACTCTTGCAGGTGAAGCCAGTCGACAGCACGGAAAGCCCCCAGAGGCATGCGGAAGACCTGCGACAATACCGCCAACTCAATCTGCTTGAGACATCTCGGTAGCGGCAGGTACTGCATCACATAACTCAAGACCGAGACGCATCGTGTACTATATAATACTGAGGAAGACGAGCAGCCGTGCTACCTTTTCCTATGGCAGCTCCACGAGCTCGATATTTCTGGGTAGGCTTTTCCCAGAAGTCGTACACGGTCGCTTCGGGGCCAACCCACATCCCAAGATAGAAAAGCTTCCCCTCGATTCTGAATTCACTCCAGGACGGGATAAACGCATGCAGAAACAGCCCCACCGTCGACTCGAGTGCACGGCGGAATCGTCCAGCGACAAGAACCAGCACACACTTCGCGGGCTTCAACTTCAAGTGAGCTATCTTCCCAGTGGTAATCATAACCCTATGGAATTGAATTAGCATGCGCACCGATTTAGGAGCCCCCCCCAATATCATCAGCACATGCTCGGTTGATACCAAGCTTCTTCGCTTCAAGGCATCGGTGCAGATCCCGAAGGGCAGGCGACAGTGCAGCAGCGAACAGAGAGCCCGGCAGTGGACCAGCTTGGATTATACCCCAACTGACCCAGAAAGCGTGTATAAGCAGGCCTGGACCGAGGTCACCCCCTCAATCGCCTCCTGGAGGATCGTGACAAACATCATCAGCCTGTCGCTGGAGCACGAACTCCTGCGAAAGGCTCGGGAACGCGTGCCCGTAGTCGAGAGCGTACAAAATCGGGCAGTCATCATCTGCCTCGGGCCTAGCAGAGTGAAAGCGTGCCAACGCATCTACCTCCAGGACGTTCATGCAGAAATTACGGCCTCGCATGACGCCTCGTTGGCCACCGGGGGCAAACTCACCCAGGGGCTTTCTGATAGCAAATTTCACCGCAGCGGAGAGCAATTTAATGTTCGTGTTCCTGAGACCCAGGACTTTTACAGCGTTGGCATCGCGATCGCATCCACCATCGGGCGAGTCATGCACGCCCTCGCCCTTCGGCAGGAAAGCCTGGATGGCGACACCCTCAGACAGAAAAAAAACATTGTCACCAAGCATCCACATAATAACATCGTGGAGCAGGATGAGACCAGACGGATGCGCCAGCCACGCAGCATAGCACAACCGACCAGCGCCAGGTGCAGAACCACTGGCTCGAAGCGCAGCCCGCCGCAACATAGCGTGCGAGGGGGGCGGGCAGCCAGCAAAACTTACAGGAGGAACACATTTGCCCACGCATGCAGCAGCAGTCGCAGCAGGCCACGGTTTTCAAGCAAAGACCTTCCCCCAGTGTTGGGATAACGAACGAGCGCGACCGACTTCGCCCTCCACCCTCTCCCCGTCCACGATAACCGCTCGCAAGATCAGCCCCCGAGCGAACGGCGCCCTAATCCGAGCACGACGTGCGATTGCCTGAAGTTGTTGCCTGCACCTCGAGCGAGACCCTACGTCAGCAGCCTGTTCGAGACGAGCTTGGGCAGCAGCACGATCAATCTCTGCGACTCTAAGTTGCACTTCGTTTGTCCATCTCTGGAACGATGCTGGATGGAGCAAGCGCACCTGGCCACCGCGGATCTCAATGAAATGCGGGGCCGTCTCGTGCGAGCCCAACAGGCACGACAGTCTTGGCGCCAAACAGCTCGCGCCAGGGCGCGGGCGAGCAGCAGGAGGGTGCGAGGATCACGCGGGCTCCGGAATGCCAGAACATTACGAGCGAGACGGCTAGCCGGCTAGCCTCCTGCAACGCAGTCTTATACCGTTCCAGCCGACGCGGAGGGCGCATGTCAGCTAGGTGCGATGCTTCATGTTCAACATATTTGCCCCATGTGTCCTGGAATCTGTGCGACTTGGCGATGTGTTTTGGAATGGGGCGCTCCATGGGGTCCGAGGTCTTGAGGGGCATGAAGGAAACGACCAACGCTGAGTGGTCGCTGATCTTGCCTCTGGAGAACTCTCCAGGGTCCCCAACAACCTGGGCGCTAGAACAAATCTGAGCAACCATCCATCCAGGCCGCGTGCACCAGAATCGATCAATAGCTGATACTGCGCCAGCATGCCTATCATAGTGGGTGGCAGCAGCGGGCGATATCTCTAGGAAGGCATCGAGCGTCTCGGTCCACCGAGGAGCCTGCGCGCGCAGGTAGCGGGGATTTCTTTGGGACTCCGATGGCTGCGAGAAGCTTAGCTTTTCCTCAGACGCAAAGTTAAAACCACCTGTCACTACTGTTACAGCCCTCAGGTTTTAGCTTCAGACTCGGACCGACTCCTGGCTATGAGTTCGCACGCGTCCCGCACCTGTCCCGAGGATAAATCATGATTATGAACATTCCGGTAAATTATCTTAGCGTGAGCATCCCAGATGGCGACTCTGAGAACGCGACCAGGAATAGGAGCAGAAGAGCCAGAGGAGACCCCAAGAGGAAGAGAAGGATAATGGCTTCCCGCAGCACGTATGCCTGGGACGATGGTGGCCACACACACCCGGATGCGGCCCTCACGCCCCTCGCCCCAAGAGCTCGAACAATGACAGCTCCAGGGAGGGCACGATCCAAAAAGGTTCGCAGCTGTGCTTCATTCTGGCGCACCTCTTGCAGTGCAGTCACAGACGACCCCAGACGCAGCCTCGAAAGATACCCCAGCTTCTCGGTAGCATGAGCCCCCTCATACTGGAGAAGCGCCCTAGTGTTCCACGTCGAAAATGCGAGGTTGTCGCAAGAGCCCGTCTCGCACAAGCTCGCGAACTGAGACCGAGGAGGGACACGGGCGAATCTGCTAAAGACACCACTCGGGCTCGGCGTCTGGTTCAAAAACAGAGCGCATGAAACCGACGAGCGTCTCCGTGGAGAGGCCCAGCTTGCTGGTCGTGGCGTTGTTCCACATGATGTCTGCTCTGTCTCTCCCAGGCTTCGGATCGATCTTGCACAGCGGATCCCAACCCACCGAGACCCAACCACGGTCGCGGTCGAAGAAGGTCTTGTGCTGAGGCATGTTCTCCTGCAGCACCGTTTTCGTCTTCCTCCCAAGGATCTCCATATTGATATGCCCCGGGTTCTTGTCGGGCGACACATGCACGCGAGCTTCCCCTCCTCCACCATGAACAGGAACAGCGAACTGCCGCCAGACACCATTCTGTCCACGGAGGCTCGCAAGCGCCTTGCCCGCGCGGCGGGCAGCAATGCCCGCCGCGCCCAGGAAATTGAGAATGAAGTGCTTGGAGAGGGGGTCATCGGACGTGATCTCATACTTGTCGCTATCCAGATCGAGCTCAGCCATCCATTCGCCGATCTTCTCCTGGACAGACGCGCGGGCCACAAATTGGCCAGCGCTGATGCGAATGATTGTGCCGTCCGTGTCGCGGTCGAATTGCGTTGTGGAGAGCTGTATCGGTTTCGGGGACTGCTTGTTCGCGACCACCATCGCCTCTTCGAGCGTCTTGATCTGAGCCGCCATATGCTGCAGAAGTAAATCTTGCGCGTCGAGTCGCCCAGCATGTGCATGGACCTGGCCTTCCAATATACCAATTCGTGTGACAATCTCTCTCCTGAGTGCGTCGACCTTGGGGGCATCAACGGCGGTGATCTTCTCATCGAGCTTGGCACCCATGCTAGCGAAGTCGGCTTGGCACTTCTGGAGGCACTCGGCGAAGTTCTTCGAGAACGATCCTGTGATCGACAATGACTCTTTCTTAACAGATTCGCCCACCGTGAGAGCGATGACCGACTCGAACTGCTGCTGGATGGATGCAAACTCTTCTTTGAGCAAGGCCGGGCAGATGGTGCGGACACGATTGTCGTCCATCTCGTCATCAGAGTCCGTGGCAAGGGTGTGGCGCTCAGGAAGAGTACCAGCAGGACCAGGAGCAGCTGACGCAGCTGCAGGCACAGCGCGGGACGAACGTGACACTTTGCCATCTGCCTTGCCACCTTTGATTACCTTCTTCGGGCCCATCACTGACATCCCACGGCTGACAAAATGACGCGGTGAGAGCGGAGCTGGGGCTGCTTGTGTGGGGGCCCAAATCCCACAGTAAAGGCCGACAACAAATGCCAGGCAGAACTGCCTTGCCTGCCGCGGTGACAGCGGTATCCCTGCAGGCACAGAGGCGCGGAACCCCCAGAGTGCAGGCATCTTGAGCCAAAATGGCTACGGAGGGGGAGGAGGAGGAGGAGGAGGAAGACGGAGGAGGAGGAGGAGGAGGAGGAGGAGGAGGAGGAGGAGGAGGAGGAGGAGGAGGAGGAGGAGGGAGGCGGAGGCATGCTGGCGAGGCCCGGCCCTGCCGCTGGGCCAGCCGCGGGAGGGGCGGGGCGGGGGCGGGCGGCGGCGGCGCAGGAGGGGAAGCGGGAGTGCCGGCGTGCGGGGCCGCCCCGCGACTGCCTGCGGGCCGTGCACCGATGGCCACTCGCACACGCGCACACACGCACACGCACACGCACACACACACACACACATCGCATCACGTGTAAGCCACGTGGCCCGTCTTTGGGGATCCATCCGCAAGAGCTTTGGTTCCGCGCGCGCCCCGTGGCACGTCTCCTGGATCTCCATGCGCCTCTGCGTCTAATTGTGCACATTGGATGCCGGGACTCCGTGCAAAGCATGTGGAAATTATGTACCTGGGGTCCCCCCGCAAAGAAAACGGATCCCGTGAAGACCTCCATCATGCATCCTAAAGAAGATCCTGCATAGACAAAGCTCTTGTGCAGGTTCTGCTCGGTCCCTCCTGACTGGCATGCAAAATCCCTGCTCCCATGTAGGCCCCTCTTTCCGTCTAGAGGGTCCACTCGCACGGGTCAAACTGATTATCAATATAACCCACCTGGGGCTTCCCTGGGATTCACTCCAATACTGAGCGACCACGTGTGTTGGATTAGTGTAGCATCCAGAGAAGTGTCCCTAAGTGACCAAGTGCATTCAGATTGGGTCCTGCGAAACTGATGCTCGCCTCTCTTTTCGGGGGGGTAGCCTGCAACCATAACGCCTTTTTCCCCCAGCCCGACCGGCGACACAACGTGAAGAGTCCGTCTGCACGGAGATGACATGCCTCTTTCATGTTGCTCCTCAGTCCACTTTTCTTGCAACGCCTCTGTGGTTCTCACTGGACTCCCCCAGGTATGTAGAAATGGCCACGGCATCTGTGTAAGGACGGCTGATCTGATATATCTCAGTGTGCCACTCTGTATTCTGCGCACTCTGCTGGACCATTTCCAAATAATCCTGCAATAGAGGTTTCTTGGTGACAACGTTGTCTATGTATATTGTCGCACCTTGCCGCACCATGCCCATTCGTATCATTAATTGCACCTGGCTCTTGTACTGCCTCGGATCCTGATCTAGAATGATAGCGTCCAAACGGCTGATACCCTGAGAGTTTCGCAGCATATCTAAAAAATGACTGAAGCTTGCATCCTCTGACAACTGTAGGGGCAAAAACCTGAAGCCTGGAATACTGCCAGCACCATGCGACACGACAGCCCTCGCAGCTGCGAGCCACTTCTGGTTCGCCTCTGTGCTCACCAGGGTGCTGCCCTCGCGCGCAGACACCGCCAACGCCGCCCGGAGGCTCCCATCGCCTGCATGACACCCCGTCTCCAGAACGACGGCCGGGCCAGACAGGGGGAGCCCCCTGCCGACAGCAGCCTCGATGAGCTCGCCCTTCTCTTCTCCGAGGTGCATGCCCAGCCTGTTCTGCGCGCTGAAGCTGTCGAACATCTCCAGTATCCTGCGGATGTCTCCCGCTGGAGCCTCCGACAACACGTGCTCTGCAATGGCCCCAGCCCCCTGGTCGTCCTGGAGGCTCAGCGGCAGCTGCCAGAGCGGCTCGGCACTCGCGCTCGCCACGAAGAGGACGGCTGCTCGGCGACCGGCAGCCACGTGCCCCGCGACGAAGCCGCGCGCCGAGCAGCGCCAAGCGGCGGCGACGACAACTGCAGTGGTCACGACAGGCGCTCTGCTGGCGCATGGCCGCTGCCAGCGCTGCCGCGCCATGGTCGCGACCGCTGGGCAAGACCCGACTCGGCGGGCGGCCCACGCGCCTTGAAGGCCAAGCTTGAACAAGAACCTATTCGGCCAAACTGACTACGGAAAGCACGAAAAGGATTCTTCAGATATCTTGTGGCAGAGAGCGGCCTGGGGGGTGCGACGCCCATTCCAAGTATATCGTAAACTGCAGACAACGTGCAGCGGTAATCAGCCGCTCGGCTGCGGAGGCGCGTCGCCAACGCCTGCTGTTACGCGCGAGCCCGCGTCTAACGCAGAGAGAAAGGGCCAAGCACCCGGGGGCGGCAGGGCCACAGTGGAACATCGTCCACCACGACCAGCATGCCGCTCTCAAGACGATCGGGAGGGGGGGCCTGCGAAGGAAAACTGGCGAGCGCCAGAACCGCGGCAGGAAGAGGGGGAACGCGCCAAGGAACGCGCGGCAGGGCGGCTCCAAGTCACGCCAGCGCGGCGGCGGCGGCGGCTCGGAGCGCGAGGGAGGGCCGAGCACGAGCGAGAGAGGCCCGGGTGGAGCGCGGCGCGCTCCCGAGCACTGAGCAACAGAGCCAGCCTCCAACATGTGAGGCGCCACTGGGAGCCGTGCAGGGGCCGGCCCAGGGAGCCGAGGCTCCCAACAAAAAGTTGGAGCGGCTGGGCTGCCTCCAGGGGCCATCAACGGGACCCGGGACCGTGAACAACGACTCGGGGCGAAGAGCGGACCCGACGGGGAAGAGGCCCAGACCTCGGGAGGCCCGCGCACCGAACAAACTGAAGCGCCAGGTGTCTGGGGGGGGGAGGCGGGCCGAGAGGCAGGCACGCAGCGCGTACCTCGGCTCCAGCAGCGGTGGCGAGCCCGTCGACGCAGGCGCAGCCCCCGCGAGAACGGCGGCGGAGCCGGCGCTGCTGGAGCTCGCGGCGGCAGGGTGCGAGCCGGCGGAGGGCACAGCTCGAGCCCCCTGCAGGGCATGGGCCCCGGAGAGGGACGCAGGTGCGCAGCAGCCCGCAAGTGCGGCAAAAGGGCGCGGGGGGGGCCAGGAGGCAGGGGAGGGGGCAGCGGAGCAGGCAGTCCGCCCTGCCAGCGCGCCCTCCCGGCGCGCCCTCCCTGCGGCCCCTCCCCGCGCGCCCCCCTGGCGCGCCGCCCCTACTCCGGTCACGCGCACGCAGGGAGCATATCAGAGCGTTCGGGGCCCCTCTCTGCCTGCGATCTGGGGCGACGCCGGTGACACAACCGTGAGCAAAGCTGGCCAGCGGGTGGTCCCAAAAGGGCAAGCAAGCTGCAGAGGGCAGAGGGGGGGGGCCAGGGGTCCGCGCTGAGCGAGCCCTCAGATCGCTGCTGAGCGATCAGCCTCAGAAGCTGCGCCAACTGGCCGCCAACTGCATTCGGCCGTCGTTCTGAAAATGATCGTGCTCGGCCTCCACATGAGCCAGGAGAGTTCAGCGAGGCACAGGAGAAGCTTGGAAGAGACCGCAGCGTCCGAACGAGATACCAGCCCGCGACAGAGAGGCGTAAGCTCAGCGTCAGGGGGCCAAACGGGCGGATGCAGATCGGCCGAACGGCCCCGTCGTGCAGTAGCGCATCTGCAAGCACCTGGACTCGCGCAGGACACGCGCTTTGAAGACTGTGGCCCGTGGCAGTATCCGAGGCGCCTCGAGTGCTAACCCGGCTCCAGCGGTGAGCGCCATCCTGGCCCGCCAGGATCACAACGTACACTGGCCCGACAAGTGCAGGAACACTCGTTGCTTAAGCGCAACGCCCACATAAGAAAAACATCTGGCAGCCATGCCGTTACGGGTTACGGTTGAACGGCGGAGGGAGCACGGAAGCGGCCACGCGAGACACGGCGCGACCACGTCATCCCACCCGACTGCGCACCGCAGTGGCAAAAATATACTACCAGAGCCCACATGCAGCAGCATGGTCTGCGCAGGTAGGGATGCGCTGACCGAACTCCTCCAAACCGCTGTCATAAAAGCACCTGGGGCTCTGGCACTAGCTTTTCCCGCGCACGAGCCACCAACATGATGCCTCCACCTTCGAGCACTGCGCATCATCGCAGCAGTTCTGCGCCACAGCATGAGGCAGAAGCGCGGATGCTGGCCGGCTGAACTCTCGACAGCGCGTGCTATCAAATTAAACGCCATGGTGCTAGGCCGCCTGAAGGACAATACGAGCCGAGCCGACAAAAAGGCGCGAGGAAAATGTTGGATCGAGTGCTGCACAGACACTCAATTACTGGGTGCAGGAATCGACCCCGCATTTTTCTCACGCCTTTCGCAAAACAAATCGCGGCCCACATTTAACATGTGGCCGTTAACTTGTAAGCAAAAGGCCGTTTGCTGGGCCAAGTTTAGTTTGAAAATATTCCTGCTCGCGGGTGTCCTGCGTCGCGATCGGAGCCCGCACACTCCATCTGAAACCACAACAAAACAAAGAGCCTGCATATGTGGCTTTGCCTGTTTTTGTTCAGAGCTTCAAGATGGATGTGCCAGAAGAGATTGCATAGCCCAGGCATCCTGTTTTATGAAGTCTGCCCCAAAAGCTGACGGGGCGCTCCAGGAGCAGCCACCAGTCCATGGCAGCCCCCCCGGCCTCATCCGAGCACTAGGGCAGCCCACGCAGGTTGGTGGCGGGCGCCTCCGGTCACGGCCTGCCGGGTTCGCGCCCTGGAGCCGAACACGACAACGACCGACTTGCCAATGGCGTTTGGATAGCACGAACAATTTCGAGCGTCCTGGGGAGCTGGTGACAGTCATACACGTCTAACGCGCAGGTCCGCAGCATTTGCAGTCGCGACACTAAAACGTACACATGCTCTCAGCGATGCCAAGCCCGGCCTATTGCCTCCTCCTCCTCCTCCTCCTCCTCCTCCTTCTCATCCTCCTGCGCCTCCTCCTCATCCTCCTTCGCCTCCTCTCTCAAGAGTCCCCTACGGTGTTCTTGTGCATCTAATCCTAACCAGCTTTTCGTAGCGGCCCCGCCTACGGCATGACCTCGCGCCAGCGACCCGAAAAGAGGTGAACGAAACTGCGAGAAAACAAGTTCTTCATCATCTGCGAGCCAGGGCTTTATTCATCACGACAGCCTGACGGATCGATCGTCGCGAACCTCAGCAGACGGCGGATGTGGATACCCAACTATATCCAGATCCGCCGCCTGCCGAGACATCCGAAGATCGCTGCCCCGCGTGGCGGCGAAGATCCCCTCATCGGATGATCCCTGGCTCCCGCCTCCAAGAAAACAGATTCTGGGGAACAGGAAAATACTAACACAACACCGCCACGCAATGGCCAAAACTTCCCCCGGGTGCATTCTGACCAGACTGCGAGGAGAATCAAGCCGTGGCGACAAGGGCTATCCAGGACGAGCAGCGGTATAGGTACATGTCCCCCATCTGAAACAAATTCTTCCCCTCCTCGCCGCCGGCTCCCAGGCTCGCTCGGACCGCACCGCCCCCGCCGCCTGTTGTCCCAGTAGCCCTGCAAATCGATGGGCTGCTTCGCGTCGCACATTGCGGGCACGATCGTGCCGTCCACCGAAGCGCGGGGCCGAGGAAGGGGTGAGCACTGTTCGGTGGCGGTCCCGAAGGCAGGCTCGGAAATCCAGGCGACAGTAAGAAGAGGACGAGGGAGATCCGCCGGCCCCCTCGTGGGGCCACCAAGATGTGGGCCGAAGGTTCGCAGTTTCTTGTACCAGATGCAGCTCCCAGTTTCCACTGTTACAGTTCTGCTTCTTGCTGCTTACGGTTCCGTGCTGCTGGGCCGCGCGAGGGGGGGAGGCCCAAAACGGCTATTTTTACAACGCCCTGAGCGTATGCTCTGAATTGCTGGGGCGGGTAAGAATTGACACCCCTCACGCAGATCGGCGGGGTCAGGGTCCAAAAACACATTGGATTTGCCACATGTCTGAAATTCGGTGGCACCCCTCACGCAGATCGGCGGGGTCAGGGTCCAAAAACACATGGGATTTGCAACATTTCTGAAACTTGCTGGCACCACTCACAAAGATCGGCGGGGTCAGGGTCCAAAAACATATGGGCCACATTTCTAACATTCGGTGGCACCCCTCACGCAGATCGGCGGGGTCAGGGTGCAAAAACACATGAGATTTGCCCCATTTCTGAAATTCGATGGCACCCCTCACGAAGATCGGCGGGGTCAGGGTCCAAAAACACATGGGATGTGCCCCACATTTCTGAAATTCGGCGGCACCCCTCATGCAGATGGGCAGGGTCAGGGTCCAAAAACATAGGGGATGTGCCACATTTCTGAAATTCGGCGGCACCCCTCACGCAGATCGGCAGGGTCAGGGTCCAAAAACACATTGGATTTGCCACATTTCTGAAAGTCGGCGGCACCCCTCACGCAGATCCACAGGGTCAGGGTCGAAAAGCACAAGGGATTAGCCACATTTCTGAAATTCGGTGGCGCCCGTGACGCAGATCCGTAGGGTCAGGGTCAAAAAACAAACAGGTCCCAACACTGCTTCACAGCGGCGCCCAGACCTCATGATTTAGCTGCTGCATCTCCCATTCTCCGAGACAGGGGGCCGGCGGCATGGGTCGAAGCCCTTACGGATTAGGATGTAGGGCAAATCCCACAATCGGCAGGTCTTCCTCGAGTTCGGCCCTTTGGGGGCCGCGTTCGGGGCCGAAGACTCCAGGACAGATCCGAGACGAGGACCGAGCCCCCGGGGAAGAGGACGCGGGGCCCCTTGGGGGCCGCACCATGGCCAGACCGTGTCGGCGGAGGCCCGGGGCCGGGGGCCCCTCGCGCTCGCCGGGGCGCGCTGCTGTGCTTTCTTGTTTCCCCGCCTCCTCCTCCTCCTCCTCCTCCTTCCTCGTTTCCGGCTTCCCTGCGCTCTGTTGTCACCCGTTCTCGCCGCTGGGCCCCCCTACGGATGGTAAAAAGTGTCGGCGGAGGTCCGGGGCCGGGGGCCCCCGAACGGCGCGGCGACGGACCGCGCGCGAGCCTCGGAATCCCCACAGACCTCGCCGCACGGCCCCCGCCGCACCGCTCGGGGGCCCCGGGGGCCCTGGCCGCCCGAGGCGCCCGCAGGGCGAGCGGCCGAGTCCCGAAGCCTGAGCACTGTCGCGGGGTTGGA